TTAGCTCATATTAATAACAGTTATTAATATAATTAAAGCGAAAATGTTCCAGTAATCCAATTCAATTTGAGAAGCTGTTCCACAGAATAAATCACTATTACAATCACTGGTATTACAAGTGCAACAAATAGCTTGCGGCCTATTGCAAGAATCTATTCCACCGCAGGCTCGTCTTGTATTATAATCGGCCTCTAAAATAATTTAATTTACATACATTCAAATGTATAAATATTGATAATTCCGTTAAACAAAACAAAAAAAAAAAAAAAACGCACCATATCCTCTATCAATATCACCATGTTGTCCAATTAAATTGGTACAGTAACCAGATGGACAATTTTTGCGATAATAATCTCTTACTTTGAAATTTTCAGTGTTGAAACAGTCCTTATCAACTTTTACTAGGCATGAGATGCAGGTTATGTCTGTTGAAGTTGGCGTAATCGTTGCAATTATAATTAGCGTAAAGAGTGTTAGCAATTTTATGAATTTCATTTGTTTTGATTAAAATCTTTATTTCTATTTATTAATGACAAATGAAGTTGTATTTAAAAACCATAGGGTAACCTACATTTGTTAAAAACATTTTGTTGTTTTGAAAATTTGTCTATCCACCATACACTTTAAAAATTTAAATAAATTTGCTAAAAGTGTCTTTAAACACCTTTTCAATTAAATTGTCTTTGTCTTTTACATGACAAAACTTGTAGTACCAACAATGACATACCACAACAACAGAAATAAATTACCTATTACCCTGACAACAGTTCCTTTTAAAACAAAAGAAAACAACAGCGCATTTGAAATGTAAAACAATAATATTAATTAATTCTCATAATGCCATCAATAATTTCATAATTTCTAATGATGATAAATTGAAATATAATTATCATACAACTATCTACACATACTTGCACTTAAAAGTACTTAAAATACTAAATAAAATACTACTTAATATGAATAGGTACAAAAAGTACTTATTAACCACACATTCAAATTAACTTTATTTTGTATAAGGTTTCAAAATGTTCCAAAGAAGCAACAACAACAAAAAATAAACATTAAATATCATAAGTACTACGACAAATACATTTAACACAGATACATACATTATGTATGTATATGTAATAACGTAACAAGGTAATGTATTTAAATTATACACAAAGTAAACTACATATTTAAACATTCACATCTTTCCCCCTTTATTTGAAACACCCTTTGCTTTTTCATTTCTGTGGTTCCCCTATTTTAAACATTTTTGCACCTGCACGTGAGTGTGTGTACTTATGTATGTTTGTGTACACATGTGTTAATAGTGAATGAATTCTACTCACTATCTGTATATCTTTCTGTCCGTCTATCTCATTTTATATGCATTTTTAAGCTTTTATAACGAAATTTATATGGCATCTCATTTTGTTGGATTTGTGGAAATGTGAAAACGTAATAAAAGGTAAAAAATAACAAAATTTTGAAGCATATATAATGGGTTATTTACTGTTGTTGTTGGTGCTTTTTAGTTCTTACAATTAATTTTAATATTAATTACCTGGATCATTTTCAGTGTATGTGTGTGTTTACTAGCTACAAATAAGACTACAACATAATGAAATATTGCAGTCATAGTGCCTAAAACAGTGGGTTTGGGAGATTTTCATTTAGTGATAGGATTAAAGTGTATTAATTGAGAAGATTTATTTAGGAATATTAGTTTTGAAAGCGAAAGGAAGTTTAGTTATTTAGAGTTTTGTAACAAAATATAATAATCCCACCAAAACATGGTAATGACTTGTACTACTAACTAACTAACTACTAACTAATTACTAACTAACTAACTAACTACCTAACTAACTAACTAACTAACTACTAACTAACTAACTAACTAACTAACTAACTAACTACTACCTAACTAACTAACTAACTAACTAACTAACTAACTAACTAACTAACTAACTTAACTAACTAACTAACTAACTAACTAACTAACTAACTAACTAACTAACTAACTAACTAACTAACTAACTAACTACTAACTAACTAACTAACTAACTACTAACTAACTAACTAACTAACTAACTAACTAACTAACTAACTAACTAACTAACTACTACTAACTAACTAACTACTAACTAACTAACTAACTAACTAACTAACTAACTAACTAACTAACTAACTAACTAACTCACTACTAACTAACTACTAACTAACTAACTAACTAACTAAACTAACTAACTACTACTAACTAACTAACTAACTAACTAACTAACTACTAACTACTAACTAACTAACTAACTAACTAACTACTAACTAACTACTAACTAACTACTAACTAACTAACTAACTAACTAACTAACTAACTAACTAACTAACTAAACTAACTAACTAACTAACTAACTAAATACTAACTACTAACTAACTAACTAACTAACTAACTAACTAACTACTAACTAACTAACTAACTACTAACTAACTAACTACTAACTAACAACTAACTAACTAACTACTAACTACTACTAACTAACTAACTACCTAACTACTAACTAACTAACTAACTAACTAACTAACTAACTAACTAACTAAACTAACTAACTAACTAACTAACTAACTAACTAACTAACTAACTAACTAACTACTAACTAACTACTAACTACTAACTAACTAACTAACTAACTAACTAACTAACTAACTACTACTAACTAACTAACTAACTAACTAACTAACTAACTAACTAACTAACTAACTAACTACCTACTACTAACTACTAACGAACTAACTAACTACTAACTAACTAACTAACTAACTACTAACTAACTAACTAACTACTACTACTAACTAACTAACTACCTACTAACTAACTAACTAACTAACTAACTACTAACTAACTAACTACTACTAACTAACTAACTAACTAACTACTAACTAACTAACTAACTACTAACTAACTAACTAACTAACTAACTAACTACTAACTAACTAACTAACTAACTAACTAACTAACTAACTAACTAACTACTAACTAACTACTAACTAACTACTACTAACTAACTAACTAACTAACTAACTAACTAACTAACTAACTAACTAACTAACTAACTACCTACTACTAACTACTAACTAACTAACTAACTACTAACTAACTAACTACTAACACTAACTAACTAACTAACTAACTAACTAACTAACTAACTAACTACTAACTAACTCACTACTAACTAACTAACTAACTAACTAACTAACTAACTAAACTAACTAACTACTAACTTAACTAACTAACTAACTTAACTAACTAACTACTAACTAACTAACTAACTAAACTAACTAACTAACTAACTAACTAACTAACTAACTCGGTCCATAATTAATCCTTCGGCTCCACTGTACCCCTTTGCAGTATGCGTGCATAACTACGGATACGAATTTAAACTTAACTTATGGTTTACTCGTTTTGTACGGTCGTAATCGCAATACATGCATAGAAAAATTTACATATATCCCGGTATATAAAAAGTTTTAAAATAAAATTTTAAAGAATTTATTTGTTTTAAAGTCTAAAACTTAACTTTCTCGGCCGTTAAGGGGATTTCTACTCAATTGCCTTATTTTTCAATAGTCCAACAACTTCAAGTATAATCTCAATCTGAGGCTTGAGAAACCTTTAAGAATTTGTATTTTATTATTTGCTGGGTTTTAAGAGTACTGCTTACGTACGAGCATATGTACACATATTCATCTGTGGTAAATAGATAAAATATATAATGCCAGCATTATAATTATTAATATATACATACAGCAAGTACTATTTAGTAGATCTCAACAACAGACATATAAATGAATTAATAAACTAATTCGGCAAATTTATCTTAAAATTATTATTAATACTGCAAACAGATGTAGAAATTAATTTTTATAGAAGTAATTCTCTTGTTCTAAAAATACTATGAATTTTATGTAATGTAAATATTATCCATACAAAATTTTCAAAATTTATTAAAATAAAATTATTTTGTTGGACTTTATTCCACACACATACTGTAGTAACATACTGCAGCAATATTACTGCTTTTTATATACTTTTATAAGTATCCTTTTAAATTATGTAGTAATATGTAGGTAAAAATTAATATTCCTGTTTGTTGGTCTCTTTACTTGTTATTTTATGTTGCGTTAATTTGAAAATATTACGATGCATCGTAATATTTCCTCGTTATAAAGAGGTGAGTGAGTGAGCGAGTGAACAATAATTTAATGTGTTACTTTATATTGCAACATTGTGTTGGCTGTGGAATGCTTTTGAAATTAAAACGAATTCGTAATAATTATAATATGTTTATGCATATAAAAATGCAAATGAGTTGAATCGTTAAAAAATAAAAGGAAGTCATAGTAAATAGTAGTAAAATATATGTATATTTGTCCAATGGAAACCTGTAGGAAATTTTAGGTGGTTTTAGAATTTTAATGTATTATAAACCTAAGGACAACTCCTAATTTAGTTCTATTAACGGTTTAACAATTGTTTAACGAATCATTTGATTTTTTGTAGATTATGAAATTTGTAGACATTTTTTTTTCCAACTGGGTTTTAGTGAAGAAATTCACTTGTTACTTTATTACTTCAGAGTATATCATCGACTTTTTTTTTGATATTTGTGGTATGAATATTTATCAAAATATTAAAATAAATAATTTATAATGCAATGTTAAGTCTTATAAATATCTCGTATTTATATACATAGAATCAAGGTGCAAAAAGTTCTTTAATTAATTTTGCTTAAATTGTAGTTTTAAGTTAAAATTTAAATTTCTGGTGAAATTTTGAGTTTTTGTGTCTAGTTTCGAGACTATAGCCGAGACTGTAGTCAGGTCTATAGTCGAGATTACAGTCTGGTCCATAGTCGAGACTATAGTCTGGTATATAGTCGAGACCATAGTCTGGACTATAGTCGAGACTATAGTTTGGTCTATAGTCGAGACTATAGTCTGGTCTATAGTCGAGACTATAGTCTGGTCTATAGTCGAGACTATAGTCTGGTATATAGTCGAGACTATAGTCTGGTATATAGTCGAGACTATAGTCTGGTATATAGTCGAGACTATAGTTTGGTCTATAGTCGAGACTATAGTTTGGTCTATAGTCGAGACTATAGTTTGGTCTATAGTCGAGACTATAGTCTGGTCTATAGTCGAGACTATAGTTTGGTCTATAGTCGAGACTATAGTTTGGTCTATAGTCGAGACTATAGTTTGGTCTATAGTCGAGACTATAGTCTGGTCTATAGTCGAGACTATAGTCTGGTCTATAGTCGAGACTATAGTTTTGTCTATAGTCGAGACTATAATTTGATCTCTAGTCGATACTATAGTCTGATCTATAGTCGAGACTATTGTCAGGTCTATAGTCGAGACTATAGTCTGGTCTATATTCGAGACTATAGTCGAGACTATAGTCTGGTCTATAGTCGAGACTACTTTTTATTGATTTATACTCGAGACTAAAGTTTGAT